CTCTCCAGGTTCACAAATCCGGCATTGCCAGCACTCTGGAACTCCTGTTCCTGTTTGTCCTTCCCTGGTTTACACACCTTCCTTTTTTTTTTTTTTTTTTTTTTGGCAGCTGGTCAGTAAGAGTATCCAAACCCTTGACCTTGGTGTTATCAGCACCATGCTGTACCAGGTGAGCTAACCGGCCAGCCAACACTTCTTTTGTAATTTGCTTTTTGCATTCAACAATGTTTTTGATTGTGTGGCATTATTGATGTGTATGGCTGTGGGGCCATTCATTTTGCTTGTATAAGTTTATCACAATTTATTCATCCAGTTACTTATTGACAGGTATTTGGGTTGTGTCTTATATTTTGAGGTTGGGTTTTTATTTTTTTGAGTGTGATGAACACTGCTACTATGAACATTCTTTTTTTTTTTTTTTTAAAAGATGACCGGTAAGGGGATCTTAGCAATTGACTTGGTGTTGTCAGCACCACGCTGTCCAAAGTGAGCTAACCGGCCATCCCTATATAGGGATCTGAACCCATGGCCTTGGTGTTATGAGCACCACACTCTCCCAAGTGAGCCACGGGCTGGCCCTTATGAACATTCTTATTTGTGACTCTTGGTGCACAAGTGTAAGATTTTTTCTAGATTAGAAATGTGAAGTGGAATTTCTGGCTCATTTAAAATGTGCATGCTCAATTTTACTAGATAAAGTCAAACTCTTTTCCAAAATGTTTGAGTCAGCCTCCATGCCTGTTGGCAATGTGTGAATGAATGGTCTCATTGCTTGATATCCTCCCTAACACTTGGTATTTTCAGATTTTTAAAAATTTTGCCAGTCTGGTATGAAACAGTATTTCATTTTATTTTAATTTGTATTTTCCTGTTTATGAATGAAATTGAACATCTATTTACATGTTGATGGTCATTCATGTTTTCTCTTCTGGGAAATGCCTGTTTACATCTTTTGCATTTTTCTATTGATTTTGTTTTTTGTTCTTGATTCATAAGAATTCTTATGTCTCCTGGATTCTAATCATTTGTAAGATAATTGTGTCAGAAAAAGTTTTCTCAGTTTGTTGTTTAGCTTATGATTCTCCTTACTTTATGTTTTGATATTCAGTCATTCTTAATTTTTTCATAATCAAATTTATTAAAACTTTTCTTTCATTGTTTGGTTTTTGTGTTTTATTTAAAAAATTCTTCCCTATCCTATGTCATATATTCTTCTACATTATATATACATATGCAAGTATGTACATATTCACACATATGTGAATATGTAACCTACCAAAAATTGATATATGTGTGCATCATTCAATTTCCTTTATTTTTCCCCGACTGGATAACCATTTGTTGCAATTCCACATATTAAATATCACATCTTTCCCCACTGTTCTGCAATGCCCTCTCTCATAAATCAAATGTCCATGTGTGTCGGTCTCTTTCTGGGCTCTCTATTCAATTCCAGTGCTGTCTCTCTGTGTGTCGATGCCACAACATTTCAATTACTATTGGTATCTTACAGATCAATTCTACAATCCTTGTCCTTCAGGCGTGTTTTGACTCATTTCATATTAACTTTAGAACAAGTTTGTCAGGTCCCACAAAAAGAAGCTTTTTCAAGTATTTTTAAGAATCATATTAAATCTACAAGTAAATTTGGGGATTTCTGACTTCTTTTTGATTCTGAATCTTCCAATCCATTAATATGGGAAATCTTTCCTTAGAGTAGTGAGTAGTGTCTTCTCTGATGTCTTCCAATATAAAGTTTTCTAATTTTATTCGCAAAGAGCTTGCACAACATTAAAAAAAAATTATTTCAAGATGCTTTGTATTTTCGTTGCTGTTATAAGCCAGTTTTTTTTTTTAAAGATGACCGGTAAGGGGATCTTAACCCTTGACTTGGTGGTGTCAGCACCATGCTCTCCCAAGTGAGCTAACTGGCCATCCCTATATGGGATCCGAACCCGTGGCCTTGGTGTTATCAGCACCGCACTCTCCCGAGTGAGCCACGGGCCGGCCCATAAGCCATTTTTTAAATTAGACTTTTTATTTTTCTGACTGTGGCATGTAGAAATGTAATTGGCACACACACACTCCCCCCCAACACACAGATTTTCTGTACAGTGACCTTGCTAAACTCTCATTAATCTCAATAATTTATCTTATAGACTCTTGAGTTTTCCACATAGACAATCATACTGACTACAAATAATGATAGTTTGGGGTTTTTCCTTTATAATTCTTATATCTTTATTTCTTCTTCTTTTTTTCTTATTGTAATTGCAAGGAAGTTTATCTAATGTTAAATGGAGTGGTGAGAGCAGGTAGCCTTGTCTCATACCTGGGTGCTGGTTCCACAGGTAAATTCAATTTGTGAGAACATATCAAGTGTATAATTATGATTGGTGCATTTTCCTAAGCTATGCTATACTTCAGTAACAAGTGAAAAAAAACAAAAAACAAAAAAACAACCCAAAAACCCCAAAAGGAATATTTTCCTTACATTCTAACCTCTCCTTATAACTGTATGCTCTAAAGATGCCACTGAGCAGGTCTGTACCTGTCTCTTTTCAACCTGACTATACATTACTGGAGAAAAGAAATCTCAAGTGAGAACACAGATGACTGCATTCCCCAATTTGAGGAACTACCAGGTGGAGGGGGCACAGAGAGTCTCTGCAGCCCCAGAGGGCAGAATGAGGAGGGGAGACAAGTGCAGGGAAGCAGAAAAAAACCTTTCTAGCGTTGTTGTCTAGCCAGAGAATAAGCTGAATAGGCTCCTTTGAGATAATGAGCTTCCCAGCACTGGAAGTATTAAAGCAGAGCCCAATAGCACCTACAAAGGGCTATACAGCGCCCCCTCCCCGCGATATTGGGTGGGCTGTGGACCACATCTCCTGTCTCTTCCAACTGCAAGCTTGAGATTTTTTAAAAATTGGGTTTATTTCTTATTCTACTTTTCAGGGGTGCTCAATCAGCTCCTTTCCCAATACTTAGGAAGCCGACCTTACAATAAAAACGTCAACCGAGGTGAAAAGAAAGCTGGTCCTTTGAACATGTTAATAATATTGAGAAACTTCTACCAAATCTGATCAAGAAAAAGGGAGAGGGAGAGAAAGAAAACACATTAGAATTCCTTTCTCCCCAGCAAATACCACAGTAAGTGGGTTTGCAACGATCGCTGAATAAAAGTATAGTTACCCGTGCTATTCTTCATCCCCAGACTCTCAAACATTGGGCTGCCTTTTGAGGTTTTTCGCCTTCTGTGTCGTCACTCTACAGTCTTTAAATAACGCGCACAATGTGGTCTAGGCACTCATGGATTTGAAATCCAGTAAAAGAAAAAATAATGGCTTTGTTAATGGGGTCGATTGCCTTTTTTGTGAAATAAGGAATTTTGAACGAAGTTTTGAAGACTTCTAGAGATGGGGGATAATTCTGTGATTTCATAGTTTTACTTTATTTTTGCTCTTTCTAGGAAACCTCCAGTTCGTCGGCAGATAATACGCCAGCAGAGTCCTCCGAGAGCTGCGCCATCGGCGTCGTGGCCCAGGAGGAGGCCACGTCGTGTTGCGCCGCCACAGAAATGTCTTCCTCCTCCTCCGGCTCCCCGGTGTCTTAGTCGGTTTTGCTCAGAGACAACCTGGAGTCCGGGGCTCAGTCCAGAGAAGGCGACTTCGTGAGGGCAGACCGAGAGGCACGGCGCGCCTGTCGCCTGCGCAGCCCCGGAGAGCGGCGCCCCCTCCGTGCGCCGTGAGAGCGACGCCAGCCGAGCCTACAAATCCGTTACCAGGCTGCTGTGTCCCCGAGGGCCATCCCGGGGCGGAAGAAGACGGGGAACGCCGCTGTGTTGATTCCCGGGGCCTGTGGGCCGGGCGAGCAGCGGGTCAGGTTACAGACAGGTGAGGCCGGCGGCTGGGCGAGCCAGACGCGCCCCGCAGTCTCCGGCGGCTGGCACAGTCCGATGACCCGCCAGAGGGGGCGCCGGCCGCCACCGGGGAGGCTCGTCCTGGGCGCGCCCCCCAACCTGGGCACGGCTGCTCTTGGAAACTTAGTATCTCCCTTTACCAACATCCTTCCCTTCTCTCCCTCCCTCCACCAGCTATAAAGGTAGATAGGAAGAAACAAAAACCGTACACGTAAAGCTCCCCGGCCACTTTCCCAGTACGGGCGGCAAGAGGTAGCCCATCTTCACCGTACCGGCTTCCCGGGAAGGTGGTTTCCAGTCTCAGAGTCTGGGGATCGGGTGGTTGGCAGAGGCAGTAACGGAGTGGGCGACGATTGGAGACTTCAAAGCTGCGTTTGCATAACAGGCGCCTGGCTTTTGTTTCCATTGTGTGTTTATTTGCGGCGAGGGGGCTTTGGGGACGCAAGGTCTTGGGGTGGGAGCTGCTTCGGTGTAACCAGCCTTGTGGATCTTAGACTGTATAGAACAAATCAGTAAAATAACGCTTTGTACAGATGCTGAAGCTTTAGATTGATCATTACTGTGTTTACCTGGGGGGCTGTCGTAGATAACGGGGAGCTCAAGTCTTCCCTTCACCGGGTCACAGTTCTGAAGATTTCCCCGCCGCCTGCCCCTTCCGACCGCCGAGATTTCAGCGAGCCCCGGGAACAGTCCACAAGGGTCAGAGGAATCGAGCCGTTTTCTGGCTTGCTTGCCGGAGACACATCCACTCGGGGTGGGGGTGGAGGGGACCCCACTCGTGGGAGGGGTGCCCTGGGAAGAGGACCTGGGGTTTACCGCAAAGAGTTCGCCCTGAGGTGCATTGGATGGGAGAACGTGGCGGGGGGCTCATTAAAAAATGCTCTTCTCTTTTTAAAAAGGGGAGTGGGGAAGAATCAGACGTTAAATTCTTTTGCAAACATTCATGCCTAAGGAAGGGCTGGAACAGGCAGCCCCGGCCGCCGGAACCGGTCGGACAGGTAGCGAGCTTGTTGACACCGTTATGTTGCAGGGCGCATGCTCACTCCCAAGTTTCCTGGTGCCTTTTCTATTCTACCTTATGAAACTTTTTCCCCGGCGTGGTCTCACCCGTGATTTAAGGCATAGGTGTCCCCAAGCCGAGAGGCTGGGAGTCAGCGGACGTGCAGGAGGGAGGCCTGGGCCGCGCCACGGCGGGGGGTGGAGGGAGAGGCCCGGCGAGGCGGGAAGGTGGGCTCCGGCCGCCGGGAGTCGGGGACCGAGCCGTCGCCACCGCCTCCCCTAGCGGGGGGCAGCCAGGAGAAGGGGGTCGCCGTCGGGAGAGGGGGACCCCACCATGCCCAAAGTCTTCCTGGTGAAGAGGAGGAACCCAGGGGTCTCGGTCCGCAGCTGGGATGACCTCCCGGATGAGAAAAGGGCAGACGCCTACATCCCAGGTGAGCGCCGCGCGGGGGCTGGGCCTGGCTGGGCGCGGGGCTCCCGGGGTGGGGGCAGGGGTGGCCGGGTCCTCTCTGCTCATCGGCTTGAGCCGGACTCCTCACCTCAGTCTCCTCTTTCTTGGGGGACCGCAGGGGTCTTCCAGGCGGGGGAGGGCGGGGAGTGAGAGGCCGGGAAGCCCGGGACGCCCCGCACCCCCTTCCTCCTAGTGGGAGCCTCTCACCGCCCGGCGGCGGGACCGTTGGCTGCAGCGCGGGCAGAGGTGGCTCAGGAAAGGGGGTTGAAAGCCGGTAGGGACTACTCCCGATCCCACGTTCTCCTGGAGGTGCACAAAGGTCCGCAAACCCTTCTGGGGAGAGGTGGGGAGAGGCGAGACCCGCTTCCCGCGCCAGGAGCGGAAACTTGGCGCGCGGGATCGTCCGCCGCGCACGGCTCACACTTCCTCGTGGGCGCCGGGGCTGGGACCGGGGAGCGGCCCCCAGCAGCCCTAGCTACCTCGAGGGGCCAAGCCGGGGGCTTATTCTCCTACTCCCGCGACGTTGCCCACTTGGCGAAGTGCCCAGGTCCGGGGCGGGGCGGCGGCGGCACCGCCCGCAGGTCAAACTGCCGTGGGCGCCCGGGCCTGACGCCGCGTATTTGTGTTGGGGCGCGGCCCCTCCCTCCGCAGTAGGCCTGGGCCACCTGCTCCACGACCCCCCCGAGGACTGCCGCAGCGACGGCGGCAGCAGCAGCGGCGGCGGCAGCAGCAGCGCTGGGGAGCCCGGAGGAGCCGAGGGCAGCTCGTCCCCGCGCGCCCCCGAGCCCGGCGACGCCGAGGGCCCCGATGGACAGCTGGCAGCGAAGCAGCGCCCGGTTGCCAGGTCGAAAATCAAGGTAAGATGTCGACTCTGCCCCCGCCGCCACTTGCACCACGCCCTGGCGTCGGGCGCCCGGGGCCGGCGCCCCTCCCTGCCTCGCCCGCCCGCGCAGTAGCAGCCTGCGTCGCTGCGCCCCTGCTTCCAGCTCCCTGAGCCGGCTCAGTCCTCCCGGGCGGCCCCGCCAGACGCCGAGTGTGGCCTCTGGAACTGCCGAAAAGGCTCAGGCACAGCTACCTTCCTCCAACGGTCTACTACGTGCGCAAGGCCGTCGGGGTTCCCGGGATCAGAAAGGAGGGACCCGGACTCAGAAATTACACTCTCTGGGACGCAGTTCCTTGTGCCATGTGATTCTGAGAGGTTCACACCCTTCCTTGTGTTCTGGAGACAGTGGCGGCAGCTTGGCACACAGTGGGCCTCTCACAACAGCTATTCCCAGTACCAGTTATGTAGTGCCTGTTAGGAGGCCTGCACGCGGCCTCAGGCTTGTCATTTCTCTTAGATCTTCTTGAATTAAGTTGATGGATAAAAGTGTTCAACTGCAGAAATTTTTTTAGCGCCCCTACCCCAGTGGATTGGAGTCGGGGTGCGGCCCCTATTCCTCCTCTATTGTCGCGCTTCGGGGCGCCATCGAGTATTCTAGAATTGTAGGAAACACTACTTATCGGGACGCCCATCGGAGTTTTCCTGGTTTGAATTTCTATGATCGTCTGCTCAAAGGTATCTGCTACCCCTCAAGATTAAAGAACCCCTTTCCACCGACTCTCATCCAGCTGGAGCTAGCCGGTGGTGTTTTATGAATCACTCGACCCCCGTTTCTAGCCTGGTGGACATAGTGCGACCCTGTGCGCGCTCAAAGCCCTGGGTGTTGGCGATAATTGTAGGGCGCTCCGGGGCGCTCCCGCAGCCCAGCCGCCCAGGCCGGGATTGGTGGGTGTGGGGAGGAAGAACCCAAGCGCTTGCTGTGGATTGAGAAAGCCGCCTTTACTTTCCTGGGGGACGCCATCCCTTCCGTATGCACATTCCTGGCTCCCCGGGCTTGGCTCCGGGGTGGGCTGGGGCGCATTTGGTTATGAATTGAGTTTGAGATTTGAGTTGGAATCCGAAGGAGAGAACCCTTTAAAGGATGCTGTGGACTCCCTGGCGGGCACTCTACTTAACGTTAAGTGTGCTGCTGAGGTTCGATGTCAGATGGCCTGAGGCTTTCTGGGTCAGGTAGGGTTAAGTGGGAGGGAACCGTCTGCCTAAGGCTGGAAGCTCTGCTCTCTGGGAAATTCTACGAAGTGTCCCACTTGCATATTTATCACCAGACCGGAAGCACAATTGCAAAGTTGTTTTGGAAAGGTCTGTATCCAGTTTGCCCCTCTGTCCACCAATTGCCCAGATTCCCCTGGAGAATAGCAGAGGAAAAAGATTCAGTCCCTTAACCAACATTTTGGGAGATCTCAGTTTCTTGCTGCAGGCAGAAAGCGCCATTGGAACCCTAGATTAAGGGAATAAATAACCAATCTTATTTCCAAGATCAGTTGCCCGTGTGCTGGGGGTTGTGGGGGAGGGTGGCGGGTCAAGAGTGCAGTACAGTTTGCTCCTGAACCGCTAGCAAGGAGCCTTCTCTTCATAGTTTCTGGGGAAGTTTTTAGGTACTGAATTTCATTCAGGTTTCTTTTCTCCATCTCTGCCCCCCGAAAGGAGACATCTCGGTGTTAATATGCTCCAAGCCTCCAGAATTATCAGCGTTGATATTGGCAGTTTTCAAATGACTGGCCAAATTACTCATGATTTAGCACATTATGTAACTCTGAAGTTCTCTGCAAGGCATGCTGAACTCAGTGTTTCTCTACGAATTAGTTTGTTAACAGAAGAGGGAAGCCACTCAAGGGTGAGGCCCATACGCGATATATTCTTTTAATGACTTCGTTTTAATAACTTGAAGATGCTCACTGGGCAGTGGGCTGTTAGGATCAGAGGATGGGCAGGTTTGAGCCAGAGTCCTGCACAGCGAAGCAACACCCCATCTAAAATCATGGGGTGCCTGCTGTGTGCAAGGCAGCTGTGAAAAGTGCTCCCACCCTGATGTTCCTTCCAGAATCTGACAGTAGCAGTTAAGTATGTAAGCTCTGGCTTTGTCACTTCTTAGCTGTGTGGCCCTGAGCAAGTTGCTCATCCCAGTGGGCTTCAGTTTTCTTATCTGTAAAATGGGGATAACAATGATACCTCATAGAGTTGTGAGGATAAGTGCGTTAAGGGTGGAACTTGGTATGTGCTCAGTAGCTGTAGATTTCATTTGGGTTGGGGGGAGACACATTATTACAGGAAAATAAATGCCAAACCAGAAGCATAGGCAAAGATGTGATCAATTCTGAGCGGGGAAGTTTTCTTGATGTGGATTTGAAGGCTGGGGAGAAGAAGATGGAGAGGTTTTAGGGCGGTGTGAGCTGAGCCCACAGCCTGAGTAAGGAAAGGACTCAGAGCTCTGGTGGCAGAAGGATAGGAAACTGCCTGCTGGGGTCAGGGAGAGAGTTGCAGCTCCTAGCCTGGTAGTAGTTGGGATGGGGTGAGATGGTCAAGGGGCCAACCTAAGAAGTGGGGATGCTCCTTCGTGAGCAGAGAAGTTCTGGAAGTTTTTTTTTTTTTTTTTTTTTTTTTTTTTTGTCTTTTTGCCGTGTCCGGCAACGGATCGCAACCCTCAGTGTTGCTCCCGCGCCTCGCTCAGCCAGTGAGCGGGAACCGGTCTGTATATGGGATCCGAACCCTCGGACGGGAGCGCCGCCGCGCTTCCCAAGCGGCGCACCATCCAATGCGCCACCCGGCCCGCCCCGGGAGTTCTTTTTTTTTTAAAAAGATGACTGGCAAGGGGATCTTAACCCTTGACTTGGTGTCGCCCGCACCACGCTCAGCCAGTGAGCGGGAACCGGTCTGTATATGGGATCCGAACCCTCGGACGGGAGCGCCGCCGCGCTTCCCAAGCGGCGCACCATCCAATGCGCCACCCGGCCCGCCCCGGGAGTTCTTTTTTTTTTAAAAAGATGACTGGCAAGGGGATCTTAACCCTTGACTTGGTGTCGCCCGCACCACGCTCAGCCAGTGAGCGGGAACCGGTCTGTATATGGGATCCGAACCCTCGGACGGGAGCGCCGCCGCGCTTCCCAAGCGGCGCACCATCCAATGCGCCACCCGGCCCGCCCCGGGAGTTCTTTTTTTTTTAAAAAGATGACTGGCAAGGGGATCTTAACCCTTGACTTGGTGTCGCCCGCACCACGCTCAGCCAGTGAGCGGGAACCGGTCTGTATATGGGATCCGAACCCTCGGACGGGAGCGCCGCCGCGCTTCCCAAGCGGCGCACTATCCAGTGCGCCACCGGGCCGGCCCTGGAAGTTCTTTTATTTAAAAAAAGATGACTGGCAAGGGGATCTTAACCCTTGACTTGGTGTCGCCCGCACCACGCTCAGCCAGTGAGCGCACCGGCCATCCCTATATAGGGATCCAAACCCGTGGCCTTGGTGTTATCAGCACTGCACTCTCCCAAGTGAGCCACGGGTCAGCCTGCTCTGGAATTTTTTTTTTTTTTAAAGATGACCGGCAAGGGGATCTTAACCCTTGACTGACTTGGTGTTGTCAGCACCACGCTCTCCCAAGTGAGCGAACCGGCCATCCCTATATAGGGATCCGAACCCATGGCCTTGATGTTATCAGCACCACACTCTCCCGAGTGAGCCAAGGGCCAGCCCGCTTTGGAAGTTTTGAGAAGGAAAACATCAGTCGGGTCCATCTTATCAGCTGAGGTCATGTATGTGTTATCTCCTCTGAGCCTCAGTTCCCTGATCTGTAAAATGAGGGAATAATAGAATCCACCTCTTAGAAGTGTTGCATAGATTGAGATATAAAGGATGCAAAATGTTTAGCACTTTTGTGCATTTATAAATCTCCCAGCAAGAAGATAGCTGAGAGCGATATAGAGCAAGTTTTGTTAATGTCCAGTATTTTGTTGCTGGCAGGAGGGAAGTGGGATTCACCAACCTGACTGTGTTGATGAGTGGATCTGGAAAGGAGCCCTAGGAGCAGGGGAGGAAATGGGGCCTTTCCCAGCCTCTCTGCCTTTTGACTGAGTGCCTGGGGGCAGGTTGGGAAATTGTCTCTTTACTACTGAGGATTCTGTAATTTACTGAGCAGATGGAGGTGGGGAGCTTATGTACATCGGGAAAGTGTCCCTTTGAGTCCCTTTTGTGCTGGACCCATTTGCAGTTCTCCAGCTGTGGGGGAGAGAAACCCAGGAAATACTGATCACCACTGTCCTTGGGGCATATCAGAAACAAAGTAACTCTGAAGTTAACTCAGTTGACTGGTAATCATTACTGACTCAGTGTAGCTGGTGGACCCAGGTGCAAGTATACACTAGCAGGTGAATTTGTCCTCTCACCCCACCGTATTCTGTTCTCTTTTTTGGCCTCTCCCATGGGTTCTGCAAAGGGAATTGAGTTTAGATTCCTACAAAAATATTCTTGGCCTTTTGCCTTGCTCTCTAAGTGGAGTCTTCCAGTAGTGACAGATGTGTGAAGGTGGCGTCGTCCCCCTCCCATCACTTTTTATTATGGAAAGTTTCAAAGGCAGAGTAGTATGTGTCTTGTCACCCCGCACCAACAACCATGAACCCATAGCCAGTCCTGCCCGTCCACACCCCCACCCATCCCCCAACATATGTGATTTTGAAGCAAATTTCAGAAATGATTAAACCCACATTAATAATTGTGTTCACATTGTTAATGTCTCACAAATTAATGTTTCATAAATTGTTAATGTCTCATAAATTCCTACCTCCCCCTCCCAGTTTGCTTAATTAGGTCTGCATAATGTCCACACATTGTAATTGATTGATGTGTCTTTTTTTTTTTTTTTTCCTTTTTGTCTTTTTTTGTGACCGGCAACGGATCGCAACCCTCAGTGTCGTGCCCGTACCGGACCGGGACCGGCAACGGGATTGCAACCCTTGGTGTTGCACCCGCACCTCGCTCAGCCAGTGAGCGGCCGGTCTGTATGTGGGATCCGAACCCTCGGCGGGAGTGCTGCTGCGCTCCCAAGCTATAGTGCGCCACCGGGCCGGCCCTGATTGATGTGTCTTTTAAATCTCTTTTAATTTATATATTTTTCCGTCTGTCTCTTTTTCATGTCATTACAATTTTTTTTTTTTGGTGGCTGGCCAGTATGGGGATCGGAACCCATGACCTTTAAAGGCTGAGCTTTAACCAGCTGAGCTAACTGGCAAGCCCTCATGTCATTACAATTTAATTGTTCTGAGATTTGATCTCTGTCCCGGCCAGATACAATACAATAAAATAAAATAAATTAATTTTTAAAAATACAATTTAATTGTTGAAGAAGTGGATAATTTGTTTGTAGAGTTCCCAACAGTCTGGAATTTGCTGAATGCATCACCATGGTGTTTAACATTTCATAGTCCCCTGTGTTTTCACCAAATGAGTTGTTGGATTTACAGCTGCATTGTCTAAAATGGTAGCCATAGTCACATGTGGCTTTTAAAATTAAGTTTCTCAGTCATAGTAGCCACATTTCAGGTGCTCAATAGCCATGTGTGACGAGTGGCTACTATGTTGGGCAGTACATTTAAGAAAGGCAAAATAATGCTTCATTCCATTTATTAACTTTATTTAGGAATGAAGATAATTGGTTGGTTGACCCAAATTCTCCAAACATAAGCTCCATCCCTAACCCCCTGCCTCTTGTCTTCTGTCTCCTAAGACAGAATGGAATGCCTATCCCCCACCCTCACTGTAACTTGCTGACC